AACCCGGCCATATGTAGATCTTGGGGCGCTGCCCCCGTTCTCCCCTCCCCCCCCGCAAAGCATGAGTTAGTCCGGCCCGGGGATTCTATTGTCCCCCCGCACGCACACACACACACACCCCTGGAGTAGTTGCGAACTGTCTGGCTGGTAGACACACTCATGCAGCCTGAGCACATTGACCAGCCAGGCAGTTGGAAACTACAAACTGATACATCTAGTAATAATACAACGTACCTACTGAGAAAATACCAGACGTGTTATATGTCTGGTATTTTCTCAGTTTGCTTTTCATGTGTTTATATTTTTGGGCTGCAAAAAGCAGAACTGAAAAAAAAGGGTTCCAATTAAAGTATAAAGTTTGGGAAACCCTGGTCTAACCAGTTTTCTGTCTGTCTTACATCCCATTTATCCAATCCATGTTCCTTAACTTGCTGGCAAGAATATTGTGGGTGACCATATCAAAAGTTCATCATTTGATTAATGAATATGCAAATATGCAAATGAACATTACCGGTCCTCCAAAAGTTTGTGAATGGATTTACTGGTCCCCGTGTCAAAAAGTTTGGGAACCCCTGTGCTAGAACATCATGCAGGGCTGCTGTGCAGCTCCCCACAAAATCCACATGGGATGGCATCTGTCATTTCACTTCTCCTATACACGCAACAAACAGCTTTTAGCTTGCTTCTGGGCTTTATACAGTTGTGTTGGGTGACCTGCTGTGGCCTTAAATCATAAATTATTATCTGGTTACCCATGGCTCCATGCTAACATGTACAGCGGCATTAAGTGAAGTTATCATACCACATATATAAGATATGCAGCAGGTGCTCTCCACACGAGCAGCAATCAGTGTTTGGTCTTCTCGGCAGGTCTGGCTCTGCTCCACCGGTTCACACTTGGATGGGTCACATTCTAAAATAAGCACAAAACTATTTTTGTTCAATGTGAAGTGTTGAGCAAAATTATAGCACTCCCCTTCCCCTGTGAGAACAAAGGGGGAAAGCATCATCAAGGCCATGCTAATCTCAGCACTATCCATCTATGAGTTTAGATTCACAAAATAATAAACCAAAAGGCTCCCTTTGGGTAAATACAGCACAGAGGAAGGTAAGTAGGCAACCAAGTCAGGCAAACTGAGTGCAGAAAAGAGAGTGCATGCCTAGGAACAATTTTGGCCTCTTCTTCCCTATGACTGGGAGGAGGAGAGCAGCTGAGTGAGGGTCCCTGAGCCATCTGGCCTCTGGAGGAACATCACAGAGTGTATGTCTACACTACAGCGTTAATTCAAGTTAACTTAATTCAAATTAACTATTTTGAATTCAGCTAATTCAAAATAACGCATCTATACACAAAAACTATTTCTAAATAGCGTTTTGCTATTTCGAAAAAGCACGTCCACACTGAGTGGACCCTGAACCGAAGTTAAGGCTGGCTGGAACCAGTGCCAGTAGAGCATCAGGTTAGGACTCAGTGTGTGGGGCTGCTGCTTGAGGCTATCTGAGCTCCACGCTTAAAGGGACCCTACCCTCATCCCGGACAGACAGTTCTCAGGGTTCACCGCTTGCTTGTCTACCTCAATGAGGGACAGCAAAGCAGTCCTGTTTTGGAGTGCCCTGAGTGCACTTGGGACACCACAGCACTCGGCCACATGAAGCCAGAGCTGCCCCTGGGCATGCCGGTGCGTCTTGTGGGCTCATTGCCATCAACCCGGCTGCACTTGCTGCAGGCTGCCATCCGGGGGTCCATCGGGGGGCTGTCAGGATCTCGAAGGCCCTGCGGGAGAGCATCCATCCTAAGGAGCCCTCAGAGCTACCCCGGTCCTCCCCACGGGGGGCTCATGCCCCATTCCTCCCTCACGTCCTTCCACTTACCCCTCCCTAGCCCCGCTTCCTGATGTCAAACAAAAGACACGTATGTTCAAAAAGAGAAACTGGGTTTATTGAACAAAACTTGGGGGAGGGGGAAATGAACCTCTGGGGAGACTGGGAAAAGGAGGTGGGAGAGGGGAAGAGAGAGGGTGGGAGAGGGGAGGGGGAAACCTGGGAGGAGGGAGCTGGAAGAGGGAAGCAAGGGGAAGAAGGGGGAGGGGAAGCTCAGGGCTGGGGGTCTCGCTGGACCAACCTGATTTTCATGCAAACCTAACCTGCTCCTGGGTTCGCATGTGGCCTTTGGTGGCCAGGCTGGCAGCTATCCTGCCATAGATGGCCGTGTTCCTCCTTCTAGTGAGGAGATCACGGAAGTTGGGGGCATCCCCCCAAACCTGAATAAGGTTCATGATCTCCACCCTGGACCATGAAGTTGCCTGCCTTCTCCAACCCCTGTCAGGCTCCTGGGAGCTGGCAGACTGCTCCTGGGGAGCGGTGGAGGGCTGGCTGCCAGTGGCTTTCTGGCTCATGTTTTGGGGCCACTGGGTCAGGGGCTCCGATGGCCACTGCTGGCTCTGGGCTGGCAAGCTTGGAGCTGGCACAGGCACTGTGGCCAGGGTCTATCCCTTTAATGGCTCTGGGGCTGGGGAAGAGGAGAGTAAGTTTTCCTGGTTGTGCCCAGAGTGGCCACCACGGCTCCCTGGGAAGGGCTGGAGGCCCCCTGTTTCGAATTAAGTGTCTACACAGCACTTAATTCAAAATAGCTATTTCGAATTTGGCATTACGCCTTGTAGAGTGAGGTTTACCAAATTTGAATTAAGGGCTCCGCTATTTCGAATTAATTTCAAAATAGTGGTTTGCATATATAGACGCTATTAAAGTTAATTCGAAATAACAGCTGTTATTTCGAATTAACTTTGCAGTATAGACATACCCAGACAGAATAGCTCAAGAGGCAGCACATTTACCAGCACTTCTTACACTAGAACTAAGGAAGGAGCTGTGTGTGTTAACATCAATGCCTGCTTCCAGGCACCAGCAGGCAGAGAGGCGACCATAGTCTTGCAACCCCAAATCCTGGGGACATACCCATTAAGATCAGAGGGCATGTTACTTATGGCCTTGCCCAGCACTCCACAGAGTGTTTGGTTACATTTCTGCCCGAACCTTTCACAGAAGGTTACTCTGCCAGTTCACCTGCTCAAGGTGAACTAGTACCCTGGGTTTTTGAGTGAAAGCGAGCACTGCACACAAGTCATAATGATGATGTCTGCTCTGACATATTTTTCCAGTGAAATTCAATCCATTTTTGCAAATGATTTTGTTTCACCCCAACATTTTCACACAGTGAAATCCTGCAGGACCCTCTGTAGCACATAAGATTGAATATTACAAAATACTGTTATGAAACAGACATTTTTGCCAAAAATAGTCCTGCTGTATGCTTTTATTTCATCATAAGATACCTACCACAAGTGTAATTGGGACAACAGGAATCTTCACGATAGTAGGTGACTATCTTTTCCAAGCCCTTACATTCAGGGATAAAGGAGTCACAAAAGCTCTGATTACAAACTATTTAAAAAAGCATAGAAAAAAGAAATTAGGATATTCTATGATATTCAGCAGAGGTCTCTTATGTTAAGTCGAAAACATCAAGTTGTTCATTGATAAAAATCCAAAATAATAATAAAGCGTGCACAAAAAGGCTGAGTGGGATTTTCAAGAAGTGCTGAGCATTAGCCGAACTCTCATGGAAAATCGACTGAGCACTTGTGAACATCCAACCAGCCACTATAAGAATTGTACCGCATGACAAACCAGCTCTCACCATTCTGCCCTCCAAAATAGTATTATGTAGTATATGAATAAACCACAGCACAAAGGAAGTGGGATATGCCAGAAAGGAAACCTCATACATTTATATACTTTGTTAAGGATACTTACTGCAAATCTTTTGAGGACAACAGGTTTGATCATCAGGAACAATCAGGGCCATTTCCCCAAAGCGCTGACAGTCTACATCATGAATATCTGAGCAGTTGTATTCCACAGGAATAATGGTCTCATTGTCAACACATTTGTGCATGCAGCATCCACTAAGGGAGGTTTTCCAAATCTCCCCGACTGCATGGGGTGCTCCCAAACTGTCTGTGCAGGCTAAATTATTGCAATAGAAGACAGAAATTGTTAATGTTTCAGAGCTGACCATCTTGTTATTCTATGGCATGTGTTGTATGACAGCAAACTAGTGTCTGAGTCTGGGAGAAAGGCTGGGCCAGTGATGACCCCTCCACATGAAAAAGGGAAGATGGATCTGAGTGAGCTTGACTGGGAGGATGTGCTGCACCCTTACAGAGGGTGCTGGAGCTGACACATCAGAGTACTCCTGAGCCAGGCAGATATCCTCTGGTGGTTCTACCTGCAGCAAGACTGCCTCCAACATCACCTCACTCCCACTAAGACCAGTGGTTATATTCTGCTATCTAGTGAATAACTACTGTGTTATGGATATGGTATACATTCTGAAAGTACTTTAGCGTTGCAAAATAGACTCCTTTAGCAGTGTACTAGGCTGAAAAGGGGACTGAGAAAAGCCTAACATGCTTAGACTACTGGAAGTTTGTTTTACACACTACATTTCAGGTACATGTAAATTACTTATATGAATTAAATTCCTTATATGGTCAGAAGGAGGCTATTTTTTGGTTCACTTGGTAGAGCCTGGACCACAAGAGCACTCATTTGAGCATCGGCTTCCATCGTGTGCAAGACCTCACATTGCCTCTGCCCAGCATCCAGATAGGGAATACCACTAATTAGTGAGGCCTGTGGT